GCAGGGCTGGATGAACACAGCAGGCCAAGCAGCATCATAGGAGCAGATGCTCCTATGATGCTGCTTGGCCTGCTGTGTTCATCCAGCCCTGCACCTTGTTGTCTCGGATTCTCCAGCATCTGCAGTTCCTACTATCTCTGATTCAATTGCAACTGACTTAACTTTGATGTCCAAGCATAATTGGACAGAAGGTGAGCTAGCAAACTGATATTTGATAGCGGTGATTGATTAAAGAAAAATAGCTTGATTGCTTAACGTTCATCATTATAATACCTTCAGTGTAGGTGTTACTGGAGCCACTTCAAGAAAGGGAAAAGTAAATGGAAGACACGTGTAAATGAGAAAATAATACAGTAATCCAACAGTCGGGAACTAAGATGATTGCATTGAGGAAGGAAGTTGAAACCACATAGACCACTGATTTCTTCAAGTACCATGCTTTACAATATTGAGTGGTATTACTGTCTTAACATCCCTTGATAGCTATCTCTATCTTGGTGCTCAAAAATCTAGTCCTTGTTCTACTTGTTAAATTGTCATTTGTGTTTCTTTCTTTTGCTTTTGTCCCCACAATTTTACAATCACTACCAGATGTTCTTATTTTTCCAAGTCCATGCCCACATAATTGCAAGTTGTATCTTGGTGATTTGTGGATGTTGTTTTCATGCAGCTACTTTACTCAACATTTCTTCACTAGTTGTGTGCAATGGTATTTTGGTTTGCAGGGGAAAATATCTGCTTTCCATATAGATGTTCATATTTCTGGAGAATCACGTGACAATAAATAAATAAAGTCAAAAGATCTGACATTGCAAATGTTTGTTGCAAGTGTTATGTGCCTCAGTCCCTTTTTGCCATCAGATGCCATTGACTACAAGGAGCATAAAGTAATTGAGATTGGATTTCCTTTTTAAATCATGATGATAAAAGCGATTTTTAATTTCCTATGAACATAGGAACATGGAAATTTGGTGCGGGAGCAGGCAATTCAGCCCTTTGAGCCCACTCCACCATGATCATGACTGATCTTATCGTGGTCTCAAATCCATTTTCCTGCCTGCTCCCATAGCCCCTTTATCTGACTTTTCATCAGAAATGTGTTTCTTTCTTTAACCTGTTGATTGATTGTTCCTGCCTCCACTGCACTCTGGGGCAGAGTTCCACAACCACCTGAAGTAGTTTCTCCTCATCGCAGTTTTAAACCTACCTCTTCACATTGTATACCTAATAACCTCTTGTTCTAGACTATCCCATAAGGGGAACATCTGTTCAATGTCCACATTAACAATACCCTTTAGCATTTATCTCCCTCAGTCGGGTTCCCCACCTTTTTCTGAACTCCAGTATAAACCCAAGCTAGTCAACTGCTTCTCATACGACAGCCTTTTTCATCCTTGGAAGCAGTATGGTGAACCTCCTCTGAACTGCCTCCAGTGCTACCGAATGCTTTCTCTGGTAAGGAGGATGAAACGGGACACAATACGCAAATTGAGCTTTGCTTATCCAAGTGTTCAGTTATCATCTCCTTCTTTATGGTTGATTGCAGCAATTTGTCCACTGCAGAGATCCAAGTAACTGGTCTATAATTTCTCGCATTTTGCCTGTGTCCTTTCTCGAATGAGGATGTCACATGTCTGCTAGTACCTTTCCAGAATCCAGGGAATTTTGGAATATTATAACTACTGCATCTGCTATCTCTGCTGCCACACCCTTTAATACCCTAGGGTGCAGACCATCAAGTCTGGCGACTTATCTGACTTTGATGTCATCAGTTTACTTAATACTATTTTCCTGGCTACAGTAATTTCACCAAGTTCCTCTGTGTTAACTGCAGTTTTTGGGAAGAAACTATATTTTCTATTTTGGAAAAACTGGTTGTCACAGCTTGGTAATGTGTTCCAGAAACCCTTTTTTAATTGAAACTAAATTTGATTTAGTTGGCTCCCATAAGTTTTTTAACAGGTGGTGATTCGCCATGATTCAGAGCTAATAATTCAGGGCTCGCTCACTAGTTGTAACATGTCGATCTAGCCCAGAACTTAAATACTGGCTTGAATTATTGGAAGATGAAAGCAAAACATTGTGGTAGCTGGAAATCTGGAATAAAAATAATACTGGAGAAATACAGGTCTGGCAGCATCAGTGGAGAGAGAAACCGACAATATTTCAAGTCTGATTTGACTCTTCAAAACTGGTAGTCATATTGGACTCTAAGTGTTAGAGGAGCTGTGTGGTTGTTAATTGCTCTTTTGAATAATCCTTGCATTTGTAGCACTTCCAGAACGAATAATAGTCTGTTGTTCCTCCCTCCCTCCCTGAAAGACAGGCAGATGGTTATGTGAGTATTTTGAGCTCTGGAACGAAGAGTATCCTGAATCATGCCATTGTGTATGGTGTTTGACTGCTTTGTATGTACTTCCGCAGGCCCTGGAACAAAAGAGGAACCAGCAGAGTTGCCAAATGGAGAGCGTGGTGTCAGAAAAACCGATGGCACAGGTAAGGTTGAAACAACAATTTTCTGTATGTCTATTTCCTGCAGAGGTTCAGTACAAATCATTTGTAAAGGCTGTAATTATTTTGGATATGATTTCTTCTGTTTAGATAAGGAGCTTATTTCCTTTATTTTAAAGGAATTACTTTCTTAAGACTTGATTCTCATAGGGATAAGAGTTAGTAGGTGCAGCATCCCTTCCTAATTGGCCATTCTTGAGCATTGAGTGACTAGACAGTTTGGTTTTTGTTTGTTTCACTTCCTGGACATCATAGTTGATCGTAGTGCAGTCCTCACTTCTTTCTACGTGTTCACTTTTTTAGCTAATGCTTACCATGATTCCCAGATAATTCTGGGGACAGTGTAGAGATATGGTGGCCACAGAATATATGCAATTTGACTGAATCAATGTGAAAATCCTTTCTTGTCAATACTACAGTCGTGAACTGAAAACAAAGTGCGAGAGATCGCAGCGGGTCAGGCAGCATTCGTGGAGATAAGGCAAACTAAGGTTTTGAATCCTGGATGACTCTTCTAGACTTGGTTAGCTTGCTTTCTGTTTGTAGATGCTGCCTGACCTGCTGTGATCTACAGTGTTTTTTTTATTTTCAGTGCACGTTCCAGCATCTACAGTAATTAGCTTCTCCACAATCTTGCAAATGTTAGTGCTCTTGCGCTCGCTCTCACTCTCCTTTGCTGTTTTTAGAAAACTAGATGTTTTAAGGTTACAGGTCATTGATTCGAGCCAGAAACACTTTGATAAACAGACCTTTTTTTTGATGAAGTCCTCTCGAAGCAGTGTGATGAAAGCAAAAAACCCATTCGGAATCGTCTCTCATCTCCGTATTGATGTTCTTGTATTTGGGGGCGAAGGCTATAATTTCGTACATGCAGTACAAAGAAACGTAGAAAAAGGTCGTGGTTGTTGGAGGTTGGTCATCTCAGCTGCAGAACAACTCTGCAAGAGTTCCTCACTTAGTGTCCTAAGTACAACCACCTTCATCTGCTTCATCAATGACCTTCCCTCCATCATAAGGTCAGAAGTGGGGATGTTCACCAATGTTGGTGTTGAATGTTCAGCACCATTTGCGACGACTCGGATATGGAAGCAGTCCATCTTCAAGTGAAGCAAGATCTGGACAATATCTAGGCTTGGGCTGACAAGTGGCAAGTAACAGTCACGTCCCACAAATGCCAGGAAATAACCATCTCCACTAAGACAACCTAATCACTGTGCTTTGACATTCAGTGGTGTTGCTGTCACTGAACCTTCCTTTTTTATAAACACATTTGACGATACCATTAACCAGAAACTCATCTGGACACTCAAATACAGTGGTTACAAGAGCAGGACAGAGGCTAGGAATACTTTGGCACGTAACTCCCCACCTGACTCCCAAAGCCCATTCTTCATGTACAAGGCACAAGTCAGGAGTGTGATGGAATAGTCAGCACATAGTTGGATGGGTGCAGCTCCAACAACAAAAGAAACTTGACACCATCCAGGACAAAGTAACTGGCATCCATTCCCTTCACTGCCAATGCTCAGTGTACAGTCCTGCTACTGTGTACAAGAAGCATGGCAAAAAATTGCCAAAATCCTTAAACAGCACTTTCCAAACCCATGACCCCTTTCATCTAGAATGACAAGGGCAGCAGATGGATGGGAATGTCACCCCCTGCAAGTTCCCTTCCGAGCTACTCCCCATTCCTTTGTCATTTGGTCAAAATCCTGGGATTCCCTACCGAAGGATATTGCAGGTCAGCCTACAGCACATGAACTGCAGTGGTTCAAGAAAGCAAGTAATAAATGCTGGCCTGCCACCAACACCCATGTCCCACAAGTGAATCTGAAAAACACATTTGTTCGTGAACTCCTTTTGTGCCCTTCTGTATAAGAATTTCTAAGAGGAGTTTGGAGTTCTAATATATTTTAGTCAAGTTTGAATTTTTATAGTAGGGCAATTTTCATTCTTTTTGTTCATTTATGTATATCTTTTTAATGAATGAGAAGTAGCTGAAATTAACTTTTCTGTACAGACAATAAATTGAATTGGATACTGGTTGAACTCTACAGCTTTACTTTTTGTTTTCCCCTAATTGAGCTTTGAAGCTACTTGGTAGTCCTACTGTTGTATTGGTGAGTTCTTACCATGTTTCAATCAATAAATATTTAATTGTAATTACCTAATTTCTCTATCTCAATGATAAAGCTTTTTCAGTGAAGTCATTGCTCATGTTTGGGGGTATTCCTTTTAGTGGTACCATAATTTTACAAAGTAGATTAAAACTTTACAATGCCGGTTGCTTATGTGGTGCTTTTTATATGAATATCTTTCCTTTTTTTTTCTTTAATTTTCAAATTTGCCCTTAAAATGACTGAAATGGATCAACGTACTGCCCTGAGTTTCATTAACGATTGTTGTATTTAGTTGAGAATGGAGAAGACTGGTAGATTTGAAGTAGTTACCATACTAACAGCACAAGGGATCGAGTTTATGTTCACCTAATAACTTGAATAGCATAACATTTGAAACTGAACTGCTCACTTAATCTGTCCCATATAGTTGTGATGCTTTGTGCACAATAATACAGAAATTTCATTCCCACTTGGAACTAGGTAATTTGAGAGAAGAGGTTTTACCCACCTTTGTTGGGAGGACTAGTGGGGGAGGTATGTGTGGTTGGGAAATATTGAAAATGGCTCCTGACCTAAAACGAGTCCATCATGTTACCAATACCTAGTTTTTAAGAGGATGTTTTTTGTCTCTTCTGGAAAGAGCTCAATTTCTTGAAGGAATTCAGCATAATTATGCACTTCTTGCATGTAAAAGCAATTACTTCATGTTAAAACCTCACCATTTCCTTAGGGTCAATTACAATCATTAAGGCATAGAAGAGGCCCTTTGGTGCATTAAGTCAGTGCTTGCTCTCTGGAGTAGTCGAATAGTTCCCTTTTTTTAACCCCCTGCACTATTCCTGAGACACTGCAGGTTTATTTCTCTCAAATTGATCCAATTTCTTTTTAAAATTCATTGGCCTGCCGCCTCCTCATTTTGGGAAGTGAATTTCAGGTTACATAACTTGTTTCTTCTTCTTAAAAAAAAAAAAAAAAAGTTCCTTCCATTTTCTCTTGCACATCTTGTCAAAATCCTCAAGTCTGTGCTTCCTTATTCCTTATTTGATTGGCTAACAGGAACAGCTTCTCTTTGACACATTCAGTTGACATAATCCTGTGTACCCCCATAAAATCTCCTAGCAATCTCCTTTTTAAGAAGCAGAAGAACCCCAAACTAATCTTCAAACTAAAATCCTGGGACGGTCAGGTGCAACATGTTTGCAATTTCTGTACAATGTGGAAGCTTGAGGGTGCTTCATACTTCTAAGATCTACAGTGGCTCAAGCGTAAATTTTAAATTGAGCATCGAAGAGCAGAGGTGTTGAGTTCCTGAATCATATACCCTGGGTGGTTGTCACACCCAAGCAGTAAGAATTCAAAAATAGATGGATGGCCATCGGGTAGAGGGAGTGGTGCAAGCTTCTTGTGGTGTGTGTCACACTCAAGGTGCACTCTGGGGAAACTCTAGGAATGATGACATCGTGGAAAAAGTGCACTCGGAACATTGCTGCCTTTCTGTGTTCTCCTTTACCATCAGTGTCAATCAGTTGATTCTGTAGTTAGGTAACAGACTGATCAACCTTGCTTCTATTAAGTCCTGTATAGCATTTTGCGTCCCTCGTGCCTAAGTAAAAGATATCCTGGATTGGCTGCTGTACATTCCGTAGGGGGAGTTATGTGTACCAGAAGGTGTGGTGGATGCTGATGTAAACAATGAAGAGGCCAAGAATTGAGTTCCCATAGGTTGAATTTCAAGAGTTAGGGAGAAAATTTTGAAAACTAAGACTTTGAAGGTAGTAACTTGAGTTACACTTGTGCATAGAAACGTGGCAATAGTAAGACAATGGGGATCAGCTAGAGTATGGCTGTAGGCATGATGCAGGATGGAGAGACTGTTACCTGTAAGGATGGTGGAAGTGGAAGCTATCTATTTCAAAAAGAAATTGAATGGACACTTGAACAAAATAAACTTGCAGGGCAGGAGGGAGAATGGAATCTAATGGATTATTCGACAGAAAGCTGACATGGATTAGCTTGGGCCAAGTGACTGTCTCCTTGTAATTTCTGTGGTACATTCATGATCTAAGATCATATTCCTCCTTTTAAAATCTAGTTAATGCCCTGTTTGACGTGCCTTGCTTCCTCTAAACCTCTGATCATTTCTCTTAAGTGTAACATCTAATTAATTAACTCACTTGAAGTTTTTAATTTTCCAGCTGCTGGTTTGAATGAATATGCTAGTACTAAAAGTAGAAGAATACTCACCAAGCAACTACTAACCTAATTTTCTGAGACATACTTTGTTCTCCGCTAACCACCAACGTCCCCAGCCCTCCCAAAAACGAAACACCGTTAGGCTTGCTCTGTACTGCAGACTCTGGTCTGCAGTACTGCCTCTCAACTTTGTACCCGTCTTGCTGCTGTGATGGGAAATGATTGCCAGGAAAATCTTTTTCTATTTTTTTTTGTACCTGGCAGCACTTGACACAAGCCAGTTCTTCTTCTGATGTTAGATCCAGCAGATTTGTTTTTGTAACCAAGATCTTTTTCACATTGACAGTCTGTTAATCTGCTCAAGAGGATCACTCGCTATACAATGGGAAGTTATCGCTTTTTTTTTCTCTGTGCTAAGTGGACACCTTGCTGAACGTAAACCAGAATGGAATACTATGCTCACCTTTTTGATGCTAGAATTGCAGTAGTTCCAGATTTTCCCTTTTTATTTTTAAATAGGAAGATGAGACCCTGTATTAGTTGGAACAAAAACCAAAGAACTGTGAATGCTAGAAATTTGAAACAAAAAACAAAAAGCTGGTGAGTCTCAGCAGGTCTGGCAACATCTGTCCAAAGAAAGCAGTGTTAATGTTTTGAGCCCAATGACCCTTT